AGTCCGCAGACCAACACATTTCAGAGGCAAGAATGAAGTGAGGTGGCAGAGATGATGAAGTGCATGTTCACTGTCGAGAGTGAGATAAATTCAGGATGCTCCATTCTAACGTCTGAAACCATGACTTTGACCCTCAGATGGCAGCATGACCTTCAAAGTTAATTACGCTAAATAAAATATCAAATTACAACTTGAGAAGAAATAGAAAAAAAAAACACTGGATAACCAAGCTTTCTTATCACTAAAGATGACCTCTTGTTGCCCGAGGGAACAGACGGGTCTAATTGCTTGGGAACTATGAAGTGGAAAAAAAAAAAAAACAACATCAACAAACAGAGCAACTATTCTTAATAGTAATTATAGTTTTTTTTTTCTTTCTCTCTAATTGCAATTATTGAGTAAATGTACTGTGAGTGCCGTATGCTAATTTGGCAAATAGGGATGAAATAAATGATATGACAGCATGGGACCTGAAGAAAACGTTCTTTTAAAAATGACTGCTTGAGGCGACGCCACTTGTGCTTATCTATCAAATATGCAGCATTTGTACAATAAAACAAACAGCAGCAAATGCGTGTGAAGTCACTTTAAATGAGTTTTGCCTACAGTCAAGGTCACATGAAAGTAAATATGCTAATGAATATGACAAGCATGTAATATATACACAATTCCGGTTTTAGTACACAGGCTAAAGGACTGGGGGAAAAATCTGCATTAATAATTATGTAAAAGCTGTCAATTTTAGTAAACATTTATCATATCATATTTAAAAAAAAATGAATAAATAAACCTGGTAATAAATTTAGGATTTAGCATTGATTTATTGTTTGGTGGAAAATAATTTAATGAAAAATGTGATTGTTAAACGTGAACCTATATTATTTTAACTGTAATATCTGGAATCGGCCTTAAAATTTTTTTTTGATTTGATGAAACTACAAAACTCATAGCCCTCTTGTGAATTAAATGTTTTATTTGTTTTCCCATGTGAAAAAATAACATTTTCACAGTTTATGATGATGATGATGATGATGATGATTATTATTATTATTATTATTATTATTATTATTATTATTATTATTATTATTATTATTATTATTATTATTATTATTAACAACATTATTATTATTATTTATTTTTTATAATTTTTTTTAGATTGGCTGGAATGAAAACAGTTATTTAAAAAAAATAATGACAATATTAGTAGCCCCCTTTTTTTAATTGTCTACAGAACAAACCACTGTTGTTCACTGACTTGCATAATTAACCTAACTTGCCTAGTTAATCTAATTAACACAGTTAAACCTTTAAATTGCTCTTTAAGCTTAATACTAGTATTTTGCAAAATAAAATATTGAAATATTGTGTACTGTCATCATGGCAAAATAAAAAATAAATGACAAATGAATCAGATTTTTTTGTCCATCAGTACTACTGAATGATATGCAAATATTTATACAATGAGCTAATTACTTAGTGGTTCCTAATTGGTTTGCATTGGAAACCTTAAACAAAAGTGAAAGAGTTATTATTCTTAATTTCAGTTACATTTTTGCACAATATACACTCAAAACCATTCCTCATAAATTCACAGATTTTGTATAAATTTCTGCACAATTTTTTTTTTTGCAAAAAACATAAATGTCCGCAGATTCTGTCATGCACTGGTTAGTTATTAGTTATTAAAACTATTGTTAAAATATGTGTTAAAAGAAAAACTTTCCAATAAAATCACTGAGAAAATATATACTGTATATAAAAATAGTAAACGTTTACAGAGGCACCAATAGTTTTATTATATTTAGAAACAACATCGCCTTCAACTTTATGTACCATTGGTTGGAAAAAATACTTATTTATGTTTTGATACAAGCTTTACAAATTGTATTTTTTATTTTATTACTCATATGACAAAAATATTAAATAATTAGTTCCCCAAAAGGAAAATTATTCATCCTTAGAATATTCAAGGTGACTCTTTTTCCTCAGTAGAACAATAAAGAAGTTTTTTTTTTTTAATTAAACGTGAAATTGTGCTTTATAAGATTCAATTAAATTAGTTTTTCCTTTTTTTGTTTGACTCTCAAATTTCTGGTAACCATTGAGTTCAGTCGGTTTCAGTTTCTGTATGATCAAAATGTATAATGCTTGTTTTGCTAGTGAACATTGTTATTTGTTAGGTAAACAGTTAATCATTGCAAATTATTCAATTGAAAAAAAAAGTTTTTTGGTAATCTTCAATTAAACTCACTGACCATTTGTTTCTGCATTGTTCTGTTGATGTCTGTTTAACAGCTTCAATCAAATAAAACACTGGCCCTCTAAGTAGTTTTGCTATAAGGAAATGATGTGCAAAATGAAAGCCCCACCCCCTACCCAATATTCCCTAGCAGTTGTAAGTACATGTTCTGCTGGAAAAAAAAAAAAAAAAAAAAAAAACTACTATAAATCTGGCATAAGCTGAGATGGAGTAAATGAACATCGGATTTGTGAACGGCCTCTTTAAAGGTTGGACTGTGCAAATGAGACACGAAAATGAGCAGCCGAGCTACAGAAACAGGAACTGTCTGAGAATCTCCTAAAACCAATTACCTTACAGCGAATGACTGAAGTCCAATAAAGCAGCGAGACCTTGTGAACTCTTGACTGTATGTACAGTAAGACGAGCCGCAGTCGGCTTAGACCTGTGCAGTTTACGCTGAGCAAGAGGAAATCTATACTGAAAGCTTCCAGTGGTTCAGTCAAGCAGCACTGTGACCAATGAGAATCCACCCTGACGGACACTTTCACTTTGGCTTCAATATGTAGAAACCACTACATAGAGACATTACATGCATTAACGTGTATAACTGGCCTTTTTACATGTTAAAAATGAACGATTGAAACTAAAATAAAATATTATAATCATTATTATTATTATTATTATTATTATTATTATTATTATTATTATTATTATTATTATGTGTGTTATACTGCCATAAATATATACATACTAAATATATATTTGTCTATATATAAAATATTGGGAGTGTGCAAGGTTTGTATCCGAATGTATAATGTAAATGTTTAAATGTTTAAATCTTATTTGTTTCAAGACTGCTGCTTTAAAATATTAAAAATAACAATAATAAAGATAAGTAATATAATTTTATATGATTAAAAAAAAATGATTTAAAGAGTGTACATGATTGATTAAATTATGATATTCATATAATTATGACTAATACAAATATTAATGTAAAAAAAAAAACATAATTTCTTAGAATAAAGCAAACCATAACAAATATCTATTAAATAATGAGGTAATATTATATATAAATAATCTATAAAAATGAGAATGCACATTGAATACTATAGTGAAATAATTTAGTTTAATAAAATCCTACTTAATGTTACAAATTAATAATCTGTATTTTATTAAATCATTATGTTAACTGTTATGCTAAACACACACACACACACACACACACACACACACACACACACACACACACACACACACACAGACACACACACACACACACACACACACACACACACACACACACACACACACACACACACACACACACACACACACACACACACACACACACACACACACACACAATCCCTGTTTATTTTTTCCCCCAATTTCTGTTTAAAGGAGAGACAATCTTTTTAACACATTTAGAATCAAAATAGTTTTAATGACTCATTTCTAATAATTGATTTATCTTACCTTTGCCATGATGACAGTAAATAATATTTCATTAGATATTTTTAAGACACTTCTATAAACATTAAAGCGACATTTAAAGGCTTAACTATACAGGTTAGGGTAATTAGGCAAGTTATTGTATAACAGTGGTTTGTTTTGAGGACTATCGAAAAAAAATAGCTTTAAGGGGCTAATAATTTTGACCTTGAAATGGTTCTTAAAAAATTGAAAACTGCTTTTACTGTAGTTGAAATAAAATAAATAAGATTTTCTCCAGAAGAAAAAAATATTATCAGACATATTGTTGAGACATAAAACGAGAAAGTAAAACAATCAACAATGAAAATGTAAATGAAAACTGTAAGTGAAAACGTAAATGAAAAAGCTTATTTATTGACTGTCGTGGTTGTATCACTTTGACATAACAAACGCTGTACATCTCTCTATATTTAGGCTAAAACACTGCTTTATTTATTTAGGCCTACTTATTTGTATGTTTGTTTGTACTTTCATTTTAGATGTCTTTTATTTCTTTAATTTTACTTTCCAAAATGAATCCTTATTTCACTTAACAAGTTTCAAGTGATAATAAAGCTTGTTAATTTTTTAATGATTAATTTAGGAATTATAATGCTTTGTTTCATCTTCCTTTACAAGTAGCAGGGTATTTACAGCTCCTGTATATTTTTGTCCGTTCACATCCCAACCCTTTGTGTCCACTGGCAGCATAGTCACAAACTGCGGTTATACATTCTTACTCCTTTTTAAGATCACCCACTATCACACTCCACTCTACATACCAGGGGGTGGACCTAACCAAATTAAGTGAGGTAAGCAATCGGTTATGGCCATGGGGAATTAGAGAGCCTGACCAATCCCAAGAAGCATATATTAATCATATAGCTCTTTCAAACATTTTCTATCATACGTTGTAAGATCTGTCCATAGGCTAGTAGTTTAATGTTATTACTTCTTTTCAAATCCAAGAGCCCCCATGAATAGTGAATAGTGCAATTCCTTCCGTACTGCAAATGCAAATATTAAATCTAACCACAAACATGGCTAATTAACTGTACATTGATTAGTTTGCAAACTTGTTCCCATATTTTTTTTAATTTACTGTATTTTTCATTAAGAAAATAAAGGTTCCACTTAAATATGTTTTAACATGCATTTTGTTTACAAAATAATAATAATAATAATAATAATAATAATAATAATAATAATAAATCTACAGAGAAAAATAAATATCTATAGAGAAATCCTTCAATTTACGTATATACATCTACAGTGTACTCACTCATAGAAGGTGCTCCAGCCGTCCTCATTGCTCTTGGTGGCCAGCAGGCCCGAGCTGCCATGGTACGTCATGACGGCGATTTCCTGTCCTTGTGCTGCCACGCTCTTCAGCGCATTATTTGTCCCCATGGTGAACCAGAAGGTCTGTCCATCGGGCCCCATTAACCAGAGTGGCAGGCCTGTGGAGTCTCTGCGGATGCTCACACGGTTCTTATTCTTATCAGTGATGCTACTCAAGTCACCCTCGCCAGAGTATGTGAAGTTGTAGAGGTAATCGCCGGTGGTCAAACTTTGGGTGAAGACGTGGCTCGCATTTACATCGAACAAGTAAAGCTCGTCGTCAATTGGTGATGAAATCTCATACATATTGAGTGGATTTAGGAACGCTTTGTTCCTACGAACATATCGAATACGAATGTTTCCTAAATCTGCAATAAAAAGCTCACCGTCAGGCGAAACCGCTAACGATGAAGGAGCATTAAGTTTGGCGTCTTTCGCGTAGCCGTCGTCGCCAGAGTAGCAGTCACAGTTGGCATCATTTTTACAGTCGCAGCCACTGGGGGCACCAGCGAGCAGAGAGATTTCACCGTTGGTTGAAACCTGACGAACGCGGTTGATTTTCTTTTCGTCCGACTCTGCGATGTACAGAAGACCATTGTGGGAGACGGCCAGAGCGTTGGCTGATTCCAAGGTGGCATGGATGGCGATTTTGCTGACTAGGAAGTGGTCCAGACCGGGGACCTGGCAGTGCATGGGGCGTCCTGCTACAATCCTGACCTGATGGTTTTCGGAGATCTGTAAGACTACATTGTTGTCCAGCACATAAAGAGAGTTGTCCATGGGGCTCACAGCGAGGTCAGTCGGCCACTCCAGACGCACCTGAGGGAGACAGTGAGAAATGATGCTCGCTAAGAGGAGATTCGAACAGATTTCTCAATTGCTTCTCAATTCTAAAATGATGAAGCAGGTGCTCAAGCAATTTTACAGGACACTACATCACAATCACAAGTGAAATGCTCACTCAGAGAGTGTAAGTGAATCTTTATTCTTTTAAAATACTGCTGGTTTAGGCAACTTCAAGAACTTGATTAGACAAACAAAGCACTTTAAAGAGAAAGAGAGAAAGAGAAAGAGAGATTAAAGGTGAAGTAGGTGATTGTCTTCATAAACATTTTTGTTCTACTGCTTGAAAGTCTCTTCACATTTCAATGGTAATGATTAAAGTAAATGATCTAAATGTATTTCTATGTATTGTTATATACTAGGTAAGAAATGAAAGTAAAACATGTTCATCCAATTACAGTCAGAATTATTAACCCCCTGTTTATTTTTCCCCCATTTTTTTTTACAACACATTTCTAAAAATAATAGTTTTAATAACTCATTTCTAATAACTAATTTCTTTTTATCTTTGCCATGATTTCAGTACATCATAGTTTACTGGATATTTTTCAAGACACTTCTATACAGCTTAAAGTGACATTTAAATTTGTAACTAGGTTAATTAGGTTAACTAGGCAGGATGGCAGAATTGTGTCAGGCCAGCGTGAATTGTCCCAGTGCTCCCTATGGCCAGTCCACCCCTGGATGGCACCATGGCTGAAGTATTTCTTTTAGTCAGTTAATGTTACGTTTTAAAACTATTTTAGTCACGTAAAGCCTACTGTAGGTGGATTTTGTTGTTCAGCTACTGAAATCATCCGGTGAAAGATTGATATCGATTATCGATAATGTTGATTTTTATTTAGTTCAACAACAAAACATCAGTAAACAGTGCTATTTCGCCTTGCCTGCTTTACTGAGCTGAAGTTGGTTTTATATATTTACATTGGTTCATTTTTTAACAATAACAACCTGTGACCCCTTCCTATATTGTTTACTGTGCTACTCTGAATATTGGGTCCTAAATAGCATGTAAGTATGGCTTAGTAATTCCTGCACACCTCCGGCCAACCACTAAGCATACAGTAGTTGCTTTAGGACATGAGAGAGTGAGATTAGCGATCCTTGCATGCATGAAATATTGCACATTATGACAAACTTTGCTGACTACACAACTTATAATGTGCTAGATATAATACAGTTTTTTATTCAGAATTGTACTATTGTAAAGTACTGTAAAGTCTACCTGTCAAATGACCTGATCTAGTGGGTTGTCTACTGTCATCTTTAAGGTGTGCGTTCATGATTTCAGGAGGCATAGCTCTGGACGGTAGGGATGGGACTGTGTTTCAAAGATATTATGCTAACCTGTTAGCCATTTTGGCAGATCTTTAACTATTTTTTTTTCTTTTTAAAGCTTGTTATATCAATAAGATTACAAATATTTTTATTACAAAAATTATTATATTATTTTAGATTATTTTGTATTATTATATTATATTATATTATATTATATTATATTATATTATATTATATTATATTATATTATATTATATTATATTATATTACATTATATTATATTATATTATATTATATTATATTATATTATATTATATTATATTATATTATATTATGTTAAAAAAAACAATAACACAACTGAATACAACAGTAAATCACTCTGAAGTATCATTATGGCATGTTTTATTAATATGATTATTCTGATTATTATACAAATAAATACATTTACCATTTCTGCATATAAAACTGACTAAATAAAAGGAAAAATGTTTTTAGTTTGCTTGAAAAAAAAGTAAACACATTATTTTGATGGTCCAGTTGAGTATTAGACTGTCTGCTTAACATCTGTTGATCCTGCTTTTTCACACATTTAAAATGGTACCCAAAAGGTACACATTTGTACTTGAAGAGTCAATATTGGTACCTTAAAAGTATATATTAGTACCTACAGGTTTTAAGAAAAATACTTGAGGTATAAATATAAACTTTTTAGGTACCACTCCATTGACAGCTCACGTACCTTTATTTCTGAGAGTGTACATGCCAACTTACACTAACCCTAACCCCAAACTAAGGCCCCGTTTACACTAGTGCGTTTTAGTTTTAAAACGGCGTTTTAGAATGAAAACGATCCGCGTCCACACTCGCGTTTTACCCAGCGTTTCTGAACTGCTCTCCGTCCACACCAAAACGCTGAAAACGCACATCACGTGACCACACAGACACTCTCTGGCAAGCGCTGCAGCTCATCTACCCAGATGAGAGCTCTGCTAGTCGGACTTCTCATCAAGCATCTACCGCTGGATCTAATATTTCACTATATTTATTAAACGGGATATTTCATTCATCTTGTTGTCTTTATCTAATGACATATTCCCTGACTTTGGTCATTAGAATCTTACTTTTTCTCAGGTAACGTGTTTTGGCTTAGCGCAAAGATAAGTTAATGATTGATGAAACCACGTAGCCTATTATGTATATTGACTGATCGCTTGCCTTTATTTCCTATAATGTAAAAACGTATTGTATGTTATACTTTTATAATGGCCATTATCGATTATTAAAACTGATATTCAGCAAAAGAGAGGGTGTGTTTCGTATTTTCACTGAAATTGAAAGGAGGCATGTTGTTATCGGCTCCGTTTTGTTATAAATATCCACACAGTGAAGATGACGCTCATGCAGCACGACGCCTCAACATTTCTGCTGTCTGTTTAGTTGTTAATATTAAAATAAAAATAGGCAGTTCCTTAAATCATGTTTACAATTTATTGTTGAGAAAGTGAAACAACGTAGCCAGGGTGATGTGAATGAAGTTATAAAGTACACTGTTCCCTTTGAAGATTTACCCGTGTCCTCGGTATAGTCTGTTTTCCATATCAAACTGAGAAGAAGAGACTGCAGCCTTGATCAAACATGCGAAGTCTGAACTTACACGGAGAAAATGCAGGACTGAACTGTGTGTGTTAGGCTACTTAATATTCAGGAAAAGCCCCAATCAGAGAGGCGAATGTATGCAGCCCCACCTCCGTTTTCAGATGTCTCCGTTTTCCATCATCCACACTGAGACGGAGCAGCAGCGTTTCAGAATGAAAACGGCCTCTCCAGCGTTTTCGAAACGCTCCGTTTTTGGCGCTCGAGAACTCCGGCGTAGTGTGGACGGTTGGCATAACCGTAGCAAAACTTATGCGTTTTCAAACTAAAACGCATTAGTGTAAACGGGGCCTAACAGTCTGCTTATAATCTAATGAGAATCAGTTGGCATATAGATGCAAAGTTAAATTCAACAACAGACTCTTAAAATAAAGTGTGACCAAAATGTGACCGGACATGAAGGGAAAATGAAAACGCCAGATTTTTGCTCCAGCTAAAAAAGCAAACAGGAAGACAAAAAAAAATATATATATATATAAAAAGGTCAGAACTGGCACAAACATAACAGTTCCTGATTAAAGCCTGATTTATCTGATAAATGCGGCATTAAAAAAAATGCTGAATTGATGCTAAAAGTCAGCAGAGGAGATTAAAAACACAGCAGTGTGAGGTAAATCAGCACATCCGTCCATCAATCAGCCATCTACCTCCCGCTCTGGGTTATTAATGTCATAATGGAGAGCAGAACAGCACCTTCGAAACAAAACGCTGCACACTTATCAAACAGCAGCTCAGCCGGCTGCCTGAAACCTAAATGAACATGTATTGTTCTGAAAATAATGCGGCAGGCTTTTACCAGCCAAACCACTGAATCTGGTGAATTTCGCTCTCTCTCAGGGGCCTGATATCAAGAGTCTCATTTCAATAGTGTTCTTGGCACGCTAACAAGACCGGCTGATTAAAAGATGCTTTTAATGCACCCCCGAACAGACCAAAAGCTACAGTACCAAGCTGAGCTTAATATTCAAACGTAATACACAAATGTGGAAAACTAATCTGGAGCTGTATAGAGTGGGAGAACAACAAAAAAAAGCATGACTAATGCAGTGGATTCAAAATTTGCTGACTTTCTCATTAAAGATTCCTAAATGTGAGTGTTTACAATTGAAGAGACAGAAAAAAAAGAAAAAAAAAACTATGCTGACATTTTCAGCAGACAGATGTGGCATTTACAAACTTCATTTTACAGACCCAGACAGTCACTTATTATATTTAAACAAGTGCTAACGCTCAAACACTTCTCAGAACTGCTCTTTTGTCCATTTCTTTGAAAATGCATTAGTCATTCACAGCCGAGAACTGGACTTCAGGTGAGGAGATATGGGCGATTTTTCTTTTTCTTTTTTTTTTTTTATCTCTGTATGAAGCGGACGGATACAATACTGCAGACTGTAGGGCTTTTACATATTCTTAAAGCTGCATATGTGAATAGGTATGCATTATGCAAATGTTCTGTATTTGCATTTCAAACAGAAGGAAGCTGTAATTATGACAAGTGATATCGTAATGCTGCAAGTTCTGCAAGTGTTCAGTGATCTCGGAGAGAACAACTGTTGTTGTGTATTTTTAATGCAAGTTTGTGCTGTTTTAATTTTTTATTGTACGATCGCATAGCATACAGGAATCTCTTATTATTAATTTTTTTAAAAAGTCTGACAATTTGATAAATACAAGTACACTACCTGACAAAAAGTCTTGTCAGTCAAGTTTAAGAAACAACAAATAATAACTTGACTTCTAGTTGATCATTTGGTTTCAGAAGGGGCTTATATGAAAGGCAAAGACCAAAGAGATAACGGTTATTTTCCTAAAATAAAATATAATTTTTAGTTTAATTTTGATTTTTAGTAGGACAGTAATGTCTGACTTTGCTTAGACAAGAGTCTTGTCACTTAACAGAAATAATGTACAGTATAAAATATAAAGTCATAGTGCGATGGAAAACTAATTAACATTGTGTATAACTCCTACGAGCTTGGTGGACTGCATCCATACATCTCTGCAATGACTTAAATCACTTATTAATAAAGAAATGGCAAATAAAG